CCTTCCTCTTATCAATATTCAATAACATATGGACGACCAGAATCTTTCCTCCCCACTGACGTAAAGCCCTTATACTACCATTTCTAAAACCAAAATAACCAAGTATTCTTCCTCAAGATCATTGTCCCATAGCACTTACAAGTTGCTTATGCAAACTACTGTAAAGAATGGTTAATATCCGACTAAAGTGGTGCCTAGAATATCACAACCTTATCTCATCAAATCAGTTTGCTTTTCGTTGTGACCGAAGCACAACTGATCCTCTTGCCCATTTCGAGACCTAAATCACATCAGCATTTGCACACCATGAATCAGTAATGACTGTATTCTTAAATTTAGAAATGGCATATCATACCACAATGCAGCACTAAATCCTTCAACAACTTTCTTGCCATGGCATGTGTGGAAACGTGGGTGTTTTCATAAAGTCTTTTCTCTCTGATCACACCTTCCGTGTCTGATCTGCCTCTTCTACTTCCTCTTCTTTCCTTCAATTAGAATGTGTCCCACAAGGCAGTGTACACAGAACCACATTATTCCTTATTTCTGAAAACAGATTAATTTCAGCTCTACCACCAGGTATCCAGTCATCATTATAAACAGATCATCTAGCCATCTTTGCCTCTGAGCCTTCCATCCCTGCTCTCCATCAGATTTTCCAATCTGCAATAACATCAATCTCTTTTTGGGTTACCAACTACGACTTTTGATTTTCTACCTTTAAACCCTTTTCCATCCTTTTTTTCTTGTTCACATAGAGGCTCCCAACCTCCATTTTTTCTATATGATGCTCCCATCCTATTCTGCCCTTCAGGCAAGTTCCTTGGTGTCATTTTGTCTTGGCGAGATCATATCCTTTCTGTTCAAGAAATAGCCTGCTGTCGACTCTCTCTCTTACAGACTCTCTTACATACATCCTGGGGTCAGACTGCAAAACGCTCCCCTATCTCCATATTACCCTAATCCTCTCCACCCTTGATTATGACTGTCATATATTCTTCTGCCTCTGGCTCCCTTCTCACGCACCTTGACACAATCCACCATTAAGGTCTTTATTTAGCCCTAGGCAGCTTATATTTTCTCCAGTTGAAAGCCTATATAATGAATTAGACCCACCTTCCATTTTTTAACATTAAGCTCTTTTGTCTCTATGATGTTATGCTTCTTTTCACCAATTTCCTCTCTCCAAGCAATCCCTCAATCCCGTCTTCATACCTTCTCCTCCTCCCCATGTTACTTATTCACCTATTCTCATCTCCAGTTCCTTTTTCTTCCCAATCCTTCCCTCCCAGGCTAATACCTTTCTCCTGTAATTGCTCTTCTATATTCCTTGATCCACCCAAATCAATCATCCTACCTGTTCTCCTCACACATTTTCTGGCACATATCTCTAGTCACTCCTCCAGTACTCATGTCTATACAGACAGCTCCAAATTTACCTCAGGTAATGGTCTCACCTTGGTGTTTCCTTCTCACACATTCAACTTTCCTCATCATCCTGAATCGAGCATCCTTACAACAGAACTATATGCTATCCTCCTCCCTTTACAGTGCATGTCCTCCATCTCTTCCTTATCCTTTACCATCTTTACCAACTTGCGCAACTCAATATCACTCATACAATCCATACACCCTATCAATCTTATAGTCCGTTACAAATGGTTTCCACCGACCTCACGCATTCATACCTCATGTTACACTCCAACCTACCTCTATTCTACTCATGCAATGTTTCTCTTTCAGTCCCACATATCCTGCTATCCTCTCCCTGCTTTACTGAGGACCATACCCTCACTTTTCCTTACTTGTCCTCTTCCCCAAACCCCCAACCTGCTGAAAATTCGCATGGAATTCCCCACCTTTTCATTTAACAACCTGTTCTTCCTCAGGTGCATAAATACTCTCCATTTGATCTAATAACCCTTTAACCCTTCCCCTCCTATCAATCCCTATCTTACCCATTTACTCCCCTTCTTTCTACCCCTTTCACTACTATACTATCTTACAATGACCGTTGAAAGCTAGGACATTTTGTTCTAACAAAGAATTCCTTTAATCCCCTTTCACCACATTACTCTGCCATAGTGCTATATGACCTTTGATGTATAGCACATTTATTTGTTTAAAACATTAACCATTCATCATATTTGTATATATCAAGTACTTATGATTTCTTTAAGTGAATGTAAGGGAAATGTGTGTGTAATATAAGGTATTGAACACCATAATTTTTTGCCTTCTAGGATACATACATGCAATTGTAAATATGCACATGCATACACAAACACATTTGTGAACAAGCACAAATAGATATGAAGAAAGACACATACACACACAGACACAGACACACACCACATGCACCCCCCCCCACCACACACACATATATACATACACACATACATACATATACACATACATACATACACACATACATACACACACACATACATACATACATACATACATACATACATACACACATACATACATACATACACACATACACCACATACATACATACATACATACACACATACATACATACATACACATACATACATACATACATACATAACACATACATACACATACATACACATACATACATACATACACATACATACATACATACATATACATACACACATACATACACATACATATATACACACATACACATACATATATACACACATACATACATACATATACACATACATACATACATACACACATACTACATACATACATCACATACATACATACATACGACACACACACACACACATACACACACACACACACACACACACACATACATACATACATACATACATACATACATACTACATTACACCCACATACATATACATACATACATATACATACAATACATACATACACACATACATACATACACACATACATACACATACATTACACACACATACATACATACATATATACATACATACAATACATACATACATACATACATACACACATACACATACACACATACATACATACACACATACATACATACATAACACATACATACATACACACAATCATACACACACACACACACACACACATTAACACACACATCTACTTACACTTCATACACACAAATACATGCATCAAAGCATAAGCACCAGCACAAACAAACAAAAAAGCACTATAAACAGAGAATATAAATGTGGTTTAGTACTTTTACTTTTCAGTCAGTTTAAATATGTACTGTAACTAAAGATATTAAAATTCATGTTCCTCCTTTAAAAAAGAACTGATTGTATAATTTGGTGAACATAAATGTTAAAAAAAGCAGTTAAGTTTTGTTATAAAATGATAATGCATGATTAAAGTAAAAACAAGTCTTTATACATATATTAAGCTTTTTCTTTTAATATTATAATCAATACATTTCATATATCTCATCTCCCTGTTAAATATAAGTGTGAAAATCCGCATAATATTTTCTTGTATCATGCACTCATAAGTTTCAACTTTATATTAATTACAAAAACACTTGAAGTAACTAAGAGAGTCAAAAATATAATGATGATGTGTTATACTGTGGTAATTTTACCTATATTCCCTTTTGAAGTGAGAAACTGAGCTAACGAATGCAGGCTTATGAGCCCTAGAATTAATTTTGTTATGCATTGCAATATAAGCATTTACACAAGTATAAAAAAGGAGGCTTTAATTGCTAATGCTACAAGAGAAGCTGTTACACAGAAATGAAAAGTATTCAAATCTGGGTTTTCACCCTTTATGACTAAAAGTCTCTCTGAAATGATGAGAGGATTAATATTAACACTGCAGATGAAATAAATTTTTGTTATTACTTTCAAAATACTTCTTTCCAATAGATAACTAATTCAAAATATAGTTAAAACAGGAAAAGGTATATTAATGTATTAGAACAAAGAAAATTCATTTCATACTATGAAATACAATCATTTTTAATGCATTCTGTTTGTTAATTAAAAAATCCTTACAGTTAGTATGCTAAGTTTTTAATCTTTGCACAAAATCATATAAGAAGTACAACTTCAAATAAGCAAAAAAAAAATGTCATGAAGTGATAATATAACTAAAGCAATATCCTCCAAAGACAAACCTTATGAAAGTACTCAGAGACCCAAATACTCAGGTTCTTATATTACTCTGGTTCTTGCCTCTTATAAAGATGTAGAACAATCTAAATTTGCCAAAAAATTCAGTCTTCCTGATATCTAAGAACAAATTATGAAAATTACAGTTTTACAAATAAGATTAAAAATTCATTTTGTAATTACACAGTTCTAAAAAGAGGAAAAAAAAGTTTTAATGAACTATGCATCACAGGCATGATTTGTGAAGGCATATTTTTACAAAAAAAGGAAGGAAATCAAAACTATACCTTGCCCCTATGCAACGTCCCATCCTCTTTCGCCACATCATGAAGCAATCACAGGTACTCAGAATCTTGTACAGTAAGTTTTGAATTCACCACTTGTGCCAGGTCTTGGAAGTGGAGAAATTGCTTCTCAACAATCCCGGCCTTGATCTTAGTGAACAACCAAAAATCAGGGGAGTCAAGGTTGAGTGACTATGGTGGATGGGGGAAAGTGTGATCTCAAGGAACTTATGAAGGTTGCAGTCACTTCCACTGAACCTACGGAACCCAAAAATGAAATAATTTTTATGGTTGGTGATTTATGAAATACCTCATTGTAATAAATAAGAGGATTGAATTTCTGTCATATCTCCGATAATTATTCAACATCACATAAATAAAACAAATAATGATTCCTCTAGCTATTTCTGACACTTCATGGATTATCCCTCCTTGCTTAAATATGGTGATATTATTTAGATCCACTTCCTTTAACAAATCTGTCAATCTGTGATACATCATAAGTGTTTTCTCAATGGTTTAAAAATTGGCAGTAGTAAAAGAAATGAAAATAAAAAAATACAAAAAGACAAAAGCCCTATTAATATTTACACTAGAGGATGACTGGTGGGCAGAGCTTAGCTTCGTAGTTGGCAACTAGGATCTTAATTGAGACAGTAGTGCTACTTATCTTTATAAGTATCTTAAGTGGTCCCTTGCTGCTTTTAGTACTGCAGAGTGAGATAAGTTTTGTTGGGTGTAGCATTGTCATGGCCATGATTGCAGTTTGATGCGGGTAGGCATGGATTTGGTCCAGTGTTGCAAAACTTGCAGAGAGACCTGGTCAATGTATTGGGTTGTGACTGTAGAGCTATCATGCAGATAATAAAGAGGTGTTTCTGGCTGTAAAGTTTGTCCTTCAAAATCTGGGGTCAGGGTTCATCATTGCTCAACCAAACCAAACTGGACCACTTGACTAGGATGGTGATGAAGGATATCCAACACTCATCTGTAGCACCATCCCAGAACCATTTCAGACCATTCAGCACAAATTCAGCTAGCTAGAGTTGACAAACCAAAACCTATTCTGACTTCTGCTCTTCCATAGCCAATACGAGATCCATCAAGCACATTTCTACCTCAGGCCTAACTCTGTGCATAATGGCATGTGTACTCCCACAGCCAATCCCAAACTCTAAGGATAAAACTGAAGAGATACAACTGGATCCTCCTTAATAGCAGTGTGCCATTATTTCTTCTGCCACAGAAGTTTGCAGGTGCCTGGGGTGCTGCCCAATTTGCAGCTCAGTGTTCCCAGGCATAAACATTTTTCCGGGGGCATCAGGTTATTATAAAAAATTGCAATTCTCCACCACAGACCAATTAACTATACGACCAGTAGTGGGAAATTGTATGGTGCCATCACAAAGCTTGTTTTCATAGATATTAAAACTATAAATTTAAGTTTTTGATCACATAGAAAAGTACTAATATAATTAATAGTGCATGATGAATTAATGAAAATGTGAACTTGAGAAGCAAATACAGTAACTCTAGTTATGAATCAGATTTTATTATCAATGTAAAGTGCCAGCAAGCCCACTGTCATTGTTTCATCAGAAAAAGCAAATCCAACTATAATTTAAATTCTCCAGTTCCAAATGGCAGTATTAATGTAATAAATGGTGTATGCAAAACCTAATAACAAATTTATGAACACTACAAACTTGAAAAAAATGAAATAGTTACTCAAAATAAGTTTAATTTTGCTCATCATCAATCAAGTTACAGACTTACCAGCAGTATAACTACACCAAAAAAAGGCAAGGCCTCCCATATATTCAGACTGAATGCAAACGCAAGTAGTAATTGATCCTTTTTACATTTGTGAAATTTTGTTTTTCCAATGAAGAAAATAATTTGTGGAAATAGCACACAGGTCCTATTTATGCAAATACTTATTACCTTTGAAATTGAATTAGTGATATGGATTGAAAGATTGAGAGAGATGACCCTTCTTCATACACCACTTTGATATTTCAAAACTTTACATTACTAATTTCACTTGCCATAATTTTACATAACCTTTATAGATCTAATTCCCAACAATGTTACATGTGGTCTTAAATATCTGAACCCAACTCTCAAGGGAGAGAAAGTAATTAACAATGTCCAAAAAGATTTCAATGGTCATTCTTTCCCACTATGAATACTGACCTGGCAAAACATTATCATTTTAACTTTTGGAAACTCCCAAGCCCCGATAAAAAGTCTGTTAAGGCGCTCTACAATAATATCATAATATAATAACTGTGTAAAAACAGAATTATAGAATTATGGAAAGATCATATAAAAAATTTGAGTTTTATTTTTATAATTCTCATTTACTTTCCTTGTTCTACTGCTTTATTTTCTGTCATTGTCAGTTGGTTTATCTTGCTTGTTTTCTTTCTAGTTTTATGTTTTACTTTTCTTT